TTTAGGATTGACTGGTTGGATCTCCTTGCTGTCCAAGGGACTTCCAAGAGTCTTCTCCAACACCACAGTTTGAAAGCATCAGTTCATCTGTGCTCAGCCTTCTTTATGGTTCAACTCTCACATCCATACATGACTACTGGAAAAACCATAGCTTTGACTATACAGACCTTTGTTGACAAAGTAATGTCTCTGTTTTTTAATATGCTGTCTAGGTTTGTCACAACTTTTCTTCCAAGGAGCCAGTGTCTTAATTTCGTGGCTGCAGTCACCGCCCACAGTGATTTTGGAGTCCAAGAAAATAAAAACTCTGTCACTGTTTCCATTTTTCCCCATCTGTTTGACATGAAGTGATGGGACCAGATGCCATGATCTTAGTTTTCTGAATATTGAGTTTTAAGCCATATTTTTCACTCTCCTCTTTCACTCTCATCAAGAGGCTCTTTAATTCCTCTTTGCTTTCTGCCATTAGGATGGTGTCAATCATCTGCACATCTGAGGTTATTGATATTTCTGTCTGCAATCTTGATTCCAGCTTGTGCTTCATCCAGCCCGACATGTCACATAATGTACTGTGTATATAAATTAAATAGAGTGACAATATGCAGTCTTGACGGACTCCTTTCCCAATTTGGAACCAGTCTGTTGTTCCATGTCTGGCTCTCACTGTTGTTTGTTGTTGCTGGTGATTCCCAAAGTTGTGTCTAGGCCTTGTGTTTCTCCTAAGCTTTAGAACCAGCTTCCAGTCCCCTGAGCTTCCCTGGTGGTTCAGATGGTAAACAGTCTGCCTGCAATACTGGGGACCCTGTTTCGATCCCTGGGTCAGATAGATCCCCTGGAGAAAGAAGTGGCAACCCACTCCAGTACTCTTGCCTGAACCATAGACAGAAGAGCCTGGCAAGCCCCAGCCTGTGGGGGTCGCAAAAACTGAGTGACTGACATTTCACTTCTTTCCAATCCCCTGTCAGACATCTCAACTTGAGTTCCAACAGCTACTTCATATATATCATGTCAAAAATAGTTTATATCTCCTTTGGAACCAGCTTTCCTCCTGTGTCAGTAAAAAAGCATTCATTGGGCCATAAACTAGAAATCTGTAATTAAATTTAAGATTCCTTTTCCTTTTGCCTACAATATCTGAGTGCTCACTCGCAAATCCCCATCAGCTTTACCTCCTAAATACTTTTCTGCTACTGTCATCATTTCTCTCTGTCTCCACTGCCTTTTCACGAGTTCAGGTTCATCTTCTCCCTGGCTCTCAGCTGGGCTTTCTGACTTGCCCTTGTCTCTGTTGTATCTTTTCAGACAAAGGTAATTATTTCTTATCTTGTATTTCTTCTTACCTTGCAGGTATTATTTAGTAATCAGCCAAGTCATGTGGGTGCCTGTAAAAGAAGAGTTCTACTGGTACTTTTCTGCTGAAATACTCCCAGGGGTTCCCCTTGCTCCATAGGTTAAAGTTGAAACTCTTTAATGTGAGGTGTGAGATCTCTCACTGGCCTTTCCTTGGCTCTTTAGTAAAGCTCTCCCCTCCATCTGTCCACATATACACAGCCCTAAACCGCCACAGTTCTCCTAGGAGGCACTCATTTTTTTAAATTTTATTTATTTTTAAAATTTATTTATTTATTTTAATTGGAGGCTAATTACTTTACAATATTGTGGTGGTTTTTGCCATACATTGACAGAAATCAGCCATGGGAGTACATGCATCCCCCATCCTGAAACCCCCTCCCACCTCCCTCCCCATCCCATCCCTCTGGGTTGTCCCAGTGCACCAGTTTTGGGTGCCCTGTTTCATGCATCGAACTTGGACTGGTCATCTATTTCACATATGATAATATACATGTTTCAGTGCTATTCTCTCAAATCATCCCACCTTCACCTTCTCCCACAGAGTCCAAAAGTCTGTTCTTTATATCTTTGTCTCTTCTGCTGTCTCACATATAGGGTCATCATTACCATCTTTCTAAATTCCATATATATGTGTTAATATACTATATTGTGCTTTTCTTTCTGACTTATTTCACTCTGTATAATAGGCTCCAGTTTCATCCACCTCATTAGAACTGACTCAAGTGCATTCTTTTTAATAACTGATTAATATTCTATTGTGTATATGTACCACAACATCTTGTCTAATCGTCCACCAATGGACATCTAGGTTGCTTCCATGTCCTGGCTATTGTAAACAGTGCTGCGATGAACATTGGGGTACATGTGTCTCTTTCAGCTCTGGTTTCTTTGGTGTATATGTCCAGCAGTGGAATTGCTGGGTCGTATGGCAATTCTGTTTTCAGTTTTTTGAGGAATCTCCACACTGTTCTCCATACTAGCTGTGCTAGTTTGCATTTCCACCAACAGTGTAAGAAGGTTCCCTTTTCTCCACACCCTCTCCAGCATTTATTGTTTGCAGATTTTTTGATAGCAGCCATTCTGACTGGTATGAGATGGTACCTCTTATTTATTTTTTAATTGGGGAATAATTGCTTTACAATATTGTGTTCGTTTCTGCCATACATCAGCATGAATCAGCCATAGGTATACATATGTCTCCCCCTCTTGAACCTTCCTCCCACCCCATCTCATCCCTCTAGACTCAAACCCAGTGCTCTGTCACATTCATCATTTTTTTTTACAGCTTTACTCTTCGCACATTTGCTAAAAATGTCCTCACTCCTCTCCCACATCACAGATGACTTTAGGGTCCCGCTCAACTCTTTGCTTTCCATGGCATCTTTGCTAATGCCCCAACCATATTCTCAGCGCAGTGTATGGATCACAGCATGTACAAGCATTTACGTTGGGTACCTACTTTCTTCAGACCATTTGCAATCTCTGTAATAACCCCGTGCTCAGTTGCTTCAGTCATGTCCTGTATGACTCTTTATGACCCTGTGGACTGTAGCTGGCCAGGTTCCTCTGTCCATGTGATTTTCCAACTAGGAATACTGGAGTGAGTTGCCATGCCGTCTTCCAGGGGATCTTCCCGACTCAGAGATCAAACCCAAGTCTCCTGCAACTCCTGCATTGCAGGCTGAGTTTTTACTGCTGAGCCCCCAGGGAAGGCCTGTAATAACTCTGAAAGGTAGTAATTATTACCGCCATTTTAAAGTTAAGGAACAAAACCACGGGTATATTAAGTGATTTCTCTGAAGTTGCACATCTAAATGGTTGCTGAGCTGGGCTCTAGACCTGGGCTCTTTCCTGCTCTGTCATCCTGCATCTCTGTATTCTTCCAGGGACTTCTTTATTATCTGAGCATGTATTCATCTACTCTGATCAGCAGTACATTTCCACATCACCAGTTTAATAAATAAAGGAATAGAAGAGCTTGTAGCTGATAATGAGTTTCAGGTATAAAGCAGTTCTATGATATAATCTTGGAAAATCATGTTAGAGCATAGCAATTTGTCTTTTTCAAAGAACTGTTTATTTAGATTTGGGGGAAAGTATTTTGGTTATTACACATTTTGTTCAACACATGTTTACTGCGTGCTGTGTTCTCCAAAGCCCTGCCAGGAAACAGACATTGGTATGATTGTTTCCATCCTCCGGGAACTATAGGAACTTATGACAGACACACATCTGATGTGGATGTGTGTGTGTGTGTGTGTTTGTGTGTGTGTGTGTGTGTGCATTCAGTTGTGTCCGACTCTTTGCAACACCATGGACAGTAGCCCACCAGCTTTTAGACACTAATAATAAAATGCCTCAGGTTTTTAAGCAAGGAACATGTGACTACATTCAAATAGGACCAGGAAAGATTTCCTGAAGAATTGAGTAGAATTTCAATAAAAGGAAACATTATGGGATGGCTGTTCAGGGACTAGACATTTAAAATAAATATAAAGTATGAAAGAAATCTGATTTGGTCCATTTATAATTCATATCAATGATTGATATCCTTTAATCTTAGATAAGATCTATTTCAGTGATGGAGTATCAATTTTTAAAAATTTATTTTTTTGTAAAATAGATGCATAAAACAAATGTGAAGCTTAAAGAGTACTAAGTGTGGATTTTAAGTGAGGAACAGGGTGGGTTTGTTGTTGGTGTTTGCTGCATGGAGTATCCTAGGCCCTGGGTATCACATATGGTCCTCTGTAGGGTGGGGATGACCTCTGATAGAATTCCTGCAGTTTTGTTTTGCTGAAGAGGTTACCTTGTGCTGTTGCAGAGTCTTCTTAAGGCCACACTGCCCCAGAGTGGCTTTGCTTCTGTTCCTTAGTACATAATCTTTGGTTGCCTCAGCTAACTTTTTGACAGTGCTCTATTTTCTGGATTCTGGGCAGCCTCTTTTGGGGCTATAGACGTTTTTTTCCCCCTGAGGTACAGCTGCAATCACAGCTAATTTGTAGATGTGGACAGTGAATGTGTTATAAAGATTTGCTCTCTAATTAACTCAGGTCAAATCATAGTAGTTTAATGCCTGTATGATGGTCTGTAAAAGCCTTAGATGGGTTTAGAGGAATTCTTCCCTCTCGTAGTGTTTACTCTCCTCTGCTGCTTACATGACAAGTGTGTTCATTAACACCCATCAAAATTAAAATCCAGTTGAAGTAGGCTTTTTGATATACTGTTTTTAAAAAAATATGCTATTGCCTTCAGATGGTGTATAGAATAAACATCTGCATGTTTGAGACATTGTTCTAGAAGTGGTAACAAAAAAGATTAACATGAAGCTTAGCATTCCTGGAGTTTGTTATTTCTAAAAGACCGACACTGGGGCCAGAAAATGGATTAAATTCAGAAGAGGATACAGAAGATAATTCAATAGAAAAAAAAAAGCCCAAGAAAAAGTAAATACAGTGGGTAAATGTATTTATTAATATGTGTCCATGTGTGAAAATATTACATACAATTTTTGAACATTTGTTTAGCTGTTATCAATGCAACTTTGGACTCATACTTTTGTAAACAGGTTTAAATGTTTAAAATTTGAAATTGATTTTTTTTTTAACAATCATTTGTGTTATTGACTGGAATCTTCTGTTCTCTAGATTTGATCCAGGCTACCAATGAGACCAATGTTAATATTCCTCAGATGGCAGACACGCTCTTTGAGCGGGCAACGAACAGTAGCTGGGTGGTTGTATTTAAAGCTTTAGTCACTACACATCATCTCATGGTGCATGGAAATGAGGTAAAACTCATAAACCCATGTTTTCTTTTCTTGGCAGGGGAGGGAGACTGATAAGCCTTAAGTCCCTTTACACTTTTACTAATTAGAAAAATATGAGGAAGTGTATAGAAAAGTCATCTGGAGTATAGTCTTACTATTCTGTTTAGCTATTTTTCAGAAAAATGTTGTTAGACACGTGTTAAATATGTATATACCATGTAAACATATTAATGGACAAAAATCTTAGGAGAAAGGAACAGCAAAATTGTCTTTCCCATTGAAAGTATTCCTGTGTGCCTCTGTGTGAAAATTGCTTACATAACAGTGTTTCATTTTGGAAAATACTGACAAACTAAAAACTAGCCATTTTATATGGGATGCCCCTGAATCCTATTAAATTTGAATGTTTCTGTTATACACAGAAATGAAAGATCATAAAATTTAATTCTGATTTAGTGAGTATGATTCAGTTTTTATTCCCCATTAGAGAAAACTGGGAGACTAGGAACTATACTGAGTGAAAAAAAAATCACAATGAGAATGCATATTTTTAGAAATTCCCTAAAAATGCCACTTAATATCAGAAATTGTTGAAATTAATGCTTTGAGAATATTGGTATTTGATTCTGATTTTTGTTTTCAGAGATTTATTCAGTATTTGGCTTCTAGAAATACACTCTTCAATCTCAGCAATTTTTTGGACAAAAGTGGATCCCATGGTAAGAATATTATGTTTTTTAATTTTCTTGCTAATGTTTTTGATACAGAATCTTTTGATTTTTTAAATTATTAATTCAAAATAATTCATTGAAAATCACTGTAACTGATAGCTCCACTGGATAAAATATAAATGTATATATAAATGTAGCTATATAGTTACTTTATAGTAGCTTTAAAATATTTAGTTGTTAGGCAACTCAGCATATGAATTATATATTCATTTTATTTTTTGTCTTTCAGTATATAACCTTAAAAAATAACAGTGGGTATGCTAGACCCACAGTTGTTTGTTTATGAAGGTATAGGAGGCAGTGAAGTTAAAAATACACTCCCAACCTAAAAGTACTCAGTTTTAAATGTTTTTGTAAATTTATAGGATTTGTACTACAATCATGTGTTCATTCATCGTATTTTCTGTTCGTCTATTATGTATAGGCAAGCACACCAAGCATGAATAGTTCTCAAATAACTACATGTATTAAGTCTGAAATAGTGAACCAAAATACAAGGAAAAATCAGAAAAGACATTCTGTGCAAAGATGATAGCATAACTAAATGGAATAGTCTTGGAATGTCTCATGCCAAAAGTATTTTTGCCTGAAGTAGGATTTTAAATGAGGCCTTTCTGGTACTTATTCGCCTCATCTTAGAATTGTTTACATTTGAGGAGTTTAAAAAAACTTGAACTAAGCAAAGCACAGTTGAACATATTTCATTAATTAGTTTTATTTCCTGTGTCCTTCCTCTAGGTTATGACATGTCTACCTTCATAAGGCGCTATAGTAGATATTTGAATGAAAAGGCTTTCTCTTACAGACAGATGGCATTTGATTTTGCCAGAGTGAAGAAAGGGTATGTTTTTTTTTCTCATATTTGTTTGAGCAGAATAAGTCTTTTCGACATACTTGATTTATCTTAACTAAGTTAAATACCAACTAATTTTGATCATGGGGGCCCAGTTTACAATCACCTAAAAAAAAAAAAAAAAAAAATGAAACTCAACTAGTAATATTATGAAAGTTAGCCTTGAGGTTGCAATGTTGCTGTGTTTTTATTTTCATGCAGAAAACGTGATTTGCTGCTCAAAGTTGACGTGGTACAACAGTTTATTTTGTTAAAATCAACTCAAAATTCTTGAATACTTAAATGCTTTTAAATAATTTTAAATGGAGAGAATTTAAACAAGTTTCATTTAAAAGAATGTGGCTGTAGCTGACAATAATTATGCCAGTGTGTTTTGTTTGAGGTGAAACTGAACTGTGTGTGTGCATGGAGATCTGTTTTTGACAGGTAATATGTTCTACTATTATACATTGTTGTTGCTGTTGAGTTACTAAGTCTTATCCCACTCTCATGTAGCCCAGCAGTCCTCTCTGTCCATGTGATTTCCCAAGCAGGAATACTGGAGTGGTTTGCCATCTTCCTCCTCCAGGGGATCTTTCTGCCCCAGGGACCAAAACCTGTGGCTCCTGCATTGGCAGGCAGATGATTCACTACTGAGCGACCAGGGAAGCCCATACTGTTATACGTGCACACACACAAGCACACATACAAACACACCATAATTGAACTGATAATACTAACCTTTGGTTAGGAAAATCTCACTGATACAGAACCATTTGCATGTTTAATTTATAATTACCATTTATTTTCCTCTAAATACTTGTTTGAATTTAATCAGAAGTGTTCAACCATAAATCTGTACAAATCTTGTTGTTCAGTCACTAAGTTGTGTCTGACTCTTTGTGACCTCATGGACTGTAGCATGCCAGGCTCCTCTGTCCTCCAGTATCCCCCGGAGTTTGCTCAGATTCATGTCTATTGAGTTGATGATGCTATCTAACCACTTCTTCTTCTGCAGATCCTGTATCCATTCCTAATTTGAAATAATGGCAACATATAATAGAAAATTTAATATTTTAGTCTCAAGAATCACTCCCAAAAGATATAGCTCTTATTTTCTGATAGCTGACCTAAACTTAGCTGAAAAATATAATCTTGCCTGTTCAAAATAGATTAGTTTCTTGCGGGTGAACATTTTATAAAATTAAAATTTTGGCTTTATCCCCTTCTATTAGAGATGATTCTGGTTCATATGCCTTCCTTTGACTTCTTATGTGGCCATGGGCAGCCTTAGCTGATGTTCTAGCTCGATCATGACCTCTCCAGAGTAGGACCACAGCCTTCTTAGAAACTTCTGCACCCTGAATAGGCACATAAGGGCACTTGTGGATGCTTTCCCTGCCCCAGGAGTGGGAGAGACCCCAAAAGCTCCCATTATCAGCCTGTTCACATCACTTGGGTGTTTTCCTCTGCTGTTTCAGTCCTGTTGTTCCTTGACCATTTGGATACAGGGGCTCCTTAGGAGGCCTGCGGTGAGTGCTCCCTGCAATGCTCCCTGCAGTGCTCCATGCAGTCTCATTCTCTTCAGCTGGTTATTTACTCTCAGCTCTTTTTGACCAAACTGCAAATCAGAATGTCCCTTTCATAATGTGATGGTTAATAGTATAAATTCTGCTCCTAGTCCTACAGGTTTTGAAGTCTTCCAAGACATGTTTTATCTCTCTCTCAAAAACAAACAGGCTGGGGTTTAGGGGACCTAGAGTATTAATACTAGTATTAATATTTCTTTTGTAGACTTAGAAAAGTCCATTCATAAATTCAGTTGGCCTCTTTCATCCAGACCACACTGAGGGCAGCGCGTAGAAAGCATTGCCTGTGTCATTGAGGATTGTGAGTGTAGAGAGGAGAACCGACACGGCCTCTTCATATCTCAAAATCAACCCACAGGTCTCAGATGGTAGTGAATCTGCCTGCAGCATGGGAGACCTGGGTTTGATCCCTGGGCTCGGATCCCCTGGAGGAGGAAACGGCAACCCACTGCAGTATTCTTGCCTGGAGAATCCCACGGACAGAGGGGCCTGAGGGGCTGTAGTCCGTGGGGTCGCGAAGAGTTGGACACAACTGAGAGACTGAGCACGCACAGCACAGGAGGAAAATAGCTTAGAATAATGTGCGTGGTCTCAAGTTTTCCACATATAAGTAAGTTTTACCTTTTCCTCTTTATTAATTGTAGGGCTGATGGTGTCATGAGGACGATGGCTCCCGAGAAGCTGCTGAAGAGTATGCCCATACTGCAGGGACAGATTGATGCACTGCTGGAATTTGATGTGCGTATCTCACCAGAAAATGCATCTTACACAGTTATGTTGCCTTTTATTGAAAGTGGGCTGCAGATAAAGAGCTTCCTCAGGAAGTAGATTTAGATTCCCCTCATGTCATTGAGGGGCTTCCGTGGTAGCTCAGTTGATAAAGAATCCACATGCAATGCAGGAGACCCTGGTTCAATTCCTGGGTCAGGAAGATTTCCTTGGAGTAGGGATAGGCTACCCACTCCAGTATTCTTGGGCTTCCCTGGTGGCTTAGCTGGTAAAGAATCTATCTGCCATGCGGGAAACCTGGGTTCGATCCCTGGGTTGGGAAGATCCCCGGGAGAAGGCAATGGCAACCCACTCCAGTATTCTTGCCTGCAGAATTCCATGGACAGAGGTACAATCCCTGGGGTTGCAAAAAGTTGGACATAACTAAGCGACTAACACTTTCATTTTCATGTCAGTGAACTGGATGAACACTTAGTTTAGGCTGTCAGTGTGGTGGAGATAATTTTGGTTTCCCAGATTGTCGGAGCAGTTTACAGGTGTTAAATAACTTCAGTCGTGGAAAACCACAAGCAGTGCATTCTTGGATCCTTATGTTCAGAGCAGGATGGTGGCCTCCTGTTGTGTTTGACAGGATCAAGTGGCTGCAGAAGGGATGTCCAAGTAAATACCCCAGCCTGCTATTAAAAACCATTTTATACAGTCTGCTTGTATGACACCGTCTGCAGAAGAGAATTATTTTTCTTTTGTCATGGTCCTTCTTTTGGATGATACCAACATGACTTGTTTCTTAAAACCATACCTGTGTCATGATTCTGGTATAACTATACTGGTTTATACATGTGGTAAGATTGTATAGAACTAAACACATTTACAGCAAGTAAAATTGGAGAAATTTGAATAAGATTGGTATATTGTATCAGTATCCATATCCTGATTGTGAGGTTGTACTCTAATTTTGTAAATAGTATGTGGAATCTCTTTTTTTTTTTATAATTGCATGTGGACGTGCAGTAATTTCTAAATAAAAAGTTCAATTAAAGAAATATATCTGATCCATGAAAATAAAACATTCTGACATGTAGGGAGATTTATAACTCACATTGTTAACTTTCCTCCATTTTGGTGGTTGACTAAAACAAAGATTTTCCTCAAATACTATTATTTGAAATCTCTGTTAAGATTATATAGGTTAGTCTTATCACCAAGTCCTAGTCACAGCACCCAACTCCCGTGAAATTTCAGATAAAGCAGCAAACCATGTTACTGTCTTATGAAAGATTTTACAGTAAGGAGTTCAGTTAGCTATATATGGAACTACTTCCCTTAACTTTTTTGTCTTTATTCATTCATTTTTTCTTTGCTTTCCTTACCTTTAATGTTGGTATTGTCTTAATTAAAAGAGAAAAGAAGTCATAGAATGAGAAAGAGCAGAGCAGGGATTAGGAAATGGGGAGAAATTATTCTCTGTGCTGGTGATTAGAGTATTTGGTGGGTGGTGGGTAAATGCTGTGAGTCACAAAATTTATTTTAGGGGTAGTTGGCTAGGGTATCTATTCCCTATGCTAGGCTTCCTCTCTGAGTCACTGCAGGCCCCTGGTGTCTGAACCCTTCCAAAGAGACCATTACATATGGGGAGGGAAAGAATGCACTATAACATAGTGAAAGCAGCAAGAGGACAAGTGTTCAGAAGTTGGGTTTGATTTATCTGTGGATCATTAATTAAATAAAATGTGTATTTTTCTTATACTTGTTAGGCCAACTTCATTGACTTAAATTGAAGGAAACAGTTGGCAGTCCTTTTTTATGTATTAGTAAGATTACTAAAAGAGTTATATAGCATCTGTTGAATATGAGTCAATTTCTTGGTAATAAATTGAGACTTTTTAACACGCTCTGAGAAAAATTGTCATTTGATGACTTGCAGTTAACAGGTGAAATTTTCATCTTTTTCTAGGTGCATCCAAATGAACTAACAAATGGGGTCATAAATGCTGCATTTATGCTTCTTTTCAAAGACCTTATCAAACTTTTTGCTTGTTACAACGATGGAGTGATTAATTTACTTGGTAGGTAGAATTACTGAATGGTGTCTGTAAAGAGAGATGGTATCAGAATGCAGAGATTTAGATACCACAGACTTCATAAAAAATCTAAAGACATAACTCAGGTCACATTTCTGTGTGTGTTCTTACATCAAGGTTAAGTGCAGGGAATGGAAGGCACTGTAGGTATTTTCAGCGGAAAGGGATTCCATACGGGGGTTTTGGTGCTTAGAAAATTTTGGATTGCCTGAAGGAGCAGATTCTGGACTTTGCCTCTTGGATTAAGACTCATAATGATGAATAACTTCCACTGTGCTGACAACCACCTCTGAAGCCACCCCTGACATGCTCCTATTTTGATGTAATTCCATTCGTCTCACCATCTTTCCTTCCACATAAAGTGAAAATGAGATAGAGACACTGCTTGACGATTGGCCTGTAATAAAAGATTTCTTTCTACTGACAAGTCACCCCTTCCTGGGATGTAATGGTTCAGCAAACCTCTTCCAGTTGGTGCCAGTTTGAGAAAACATCTCTAAGTCAAGCTTGATTTCTCTTTTCTCTCTGTTAACTGGTCATAGAAAACTCCCCAGCGACCATAGGCATCATTGAATGGGGAGAAATAGCCATCCAGAAGACGTGGGTGCAGTGGGATTTGAGCCACCTGTTCATACAACCTTACCTGGGTGTTTAGGAGCTACTCCAGGCTGATCTCTTATGTTACCACCTCCATTTGGTGATGGATTATATTCTCGCACTTGTTCAGCTTTATGATATGATGTATTAGATACTGCTTGGTCTTACGATCACTTGGTATTCTCTGAGGTCAGAACCGTCAGTCTCTAGAAGCAAGCCAAGAGCAATTTTTCTGAAGGAGATTAGTTACTGTCTAAGAAAGATATGGCCCTGCTTCAAAGCACAAGAAGTGTCTACCGTATTTTCCTACTGGTGTATGCCAGAGCCGTCCTGCAGCACTTGGATCTGCTGCAGACACTCTGAGTGTCTTTCCATCCGCAGGATCTAAAGCCCCATGGGGCTCGAGGTTGGAGCCGTTGCAGAGTCGTCCTTGATCTGGGCCCTGCTTCCATGTGACACTGTACCAGATGCTCTGTTTAGAGCAGCACGTACACGTGTTGTCTGTGTTACTTCCAAAACAGAAAAACTCAGCAGAACGCCTGCATTTTCATTATAGGAAGTGCAAGGTGAAGCAGTGTGTCTTTCCTATGGAGGGGACCTTTGGACCCACAGAAACTGCATTGAGGTACCAGATCCCTAGGCTTCCGTAGACTCTCTCTCCTTCTCTTTGACCTGCATGTGACTTATTAAGGCACCTAGCATATATGAAATTCTTGCCCACCAGCTATGATCAGCCTGATGTTGTCAAATTGTATCCATTGACATTAGGACAGCCAGAGAGATTAATATACTTAAAATTTTAAGACAATGAGCATGTACTGGCATCCTTGCCAGATGAAAGCAAACTACTTTTAATAGGCTATGCTTACTGGACTATGTACAAAAGAACTTGCTAGTTTGATAGATGCTTATCCCATGTCAGGAACTGTGCTTTTATGCTGGAAAGGACAACACATCTGGATGTCTGCAAGTGAGAATCATCACCTAATCAAGGTTTCAGTAACCTGTGGTTCATCTCTAAAATCCACTTACCTTTTGTACAAACCAGATATGAAAGTTTAACTGGGAATATGATGGAATTGCTACCCTGTAGGTTTGCAGAGATCAGGAAGCCGGTGTGAGGATTCTGCTAGGTTCAGAGTATTTCTGTTCTATCTACGTATTCAGAAAACTGGGAAAATAACCAATGTTAGTTTTGTGCATCCACTGATTGTAATTTTTTTAATCTCCTAATCCCCAGAAAGCCTCCACTCAGATTGGCAGAAAATAATAGCAACGTTTTTGGGATCCCTAGAGAATAGCATCGGCTTAGAGCCTGTGTCCCTGAAAACTGGGCATGTCCCTTTCCCACGTGTGTAGTCACTCTGGTAAATGTCCCTTTGCCATAGTGGAGGAATAGATGCTTTGGGCTGTCTTTCAAGGCTTTGACTCAAGACTATCTGGAGGGCTTATTGAAATTGAGATTGCTGGACTTGAACCCAGAGTTTGTAATTCAGTAGATCTGGAGAGGGAGATGGCAACCCTACTCCAGTATTCTTGCCTGGAGAATCTGTCGGACAGAGGAACCTGACAGGCTACAATCCATGGGGCCACAGAGTCGGACATGACTGAGCATGCACGCACACACATCTAATTCAGTGGGTCTAGGGTAGGGCCTGAGAATCTGTGTGTCTTGGAAGTATCATTACCGCTGATCTGCGGGACTTCCATTTGGGAACCACTGTGTTGGAGCTACTCATGGATGCTCAGGCCAGCATCCTGAATCGGTAATTTTTGGCCTGTTCACTCACATTGATGAATTATCAGTGACAACACAAAAGAGAACATAGTGGTCCTTCTTTCCTGCTCAGAACCTTTAGAATTTGTTTGGTTTCTCTAGGCTTATATCAATTAGGATTTTCCAAATAGGAAAAAGACTACAAGACATCTAGTTCACTTTGTTTTCAGATCAACATGAGTAAGTTTTTGAGTGCAAGTAAGTCCCTTAGAATATCTGGGAGCTACTTATGTTAAAAATTATTTTTTTTACAATTTAAATTTAACTCAGGGTCATGTATCTTATCTGGCAGCCCTACTGCCAACATGATCGTGGACAGTCTTGCACTGCTTTTAGTATGTATGGTGTTTTCCTCTTGAGGCAGACTTTGTACTTGTCTCCTGAGGTTAGGCTGGATTGCTGGGTTCTACAACTAATTCTCTGAATCGAAGCAGTTGGCAAGGGGAGAGGAGTAAGAAGTAGAGGGATGGGGCCTAAGGAGAATTTTTATTCTCTCATGGCAGATGGGCTTCCCAGGTGGCACTGGCGGTAAAGAACTTGACTGCCAATGCAGGAGACAGATGAAGGTTTCATCCCTGGGTCAGGAAGATCCCCTGGAAGAGGAAATGGCAACCCACTCCAGTATTATTGCCTGGAGAATCCCATGGACAGAGGAGCCTGGTGGGCTACAGTCCATAGGGTCAAAAAGAGTTGGACACAACTAAAGTGCCTTAGCACGCACGGGGAAGGTGGGGTGATTATAGAATCTCCAAGCAAGGCAGGACCAACATCTTCAGACTGAGAAGGAGACACTTTTTCCAGGAAAGGTAGCTCATTTTGGTTTGAATCTACCAAGTCCTTTTCTTTCTCAGTAAGAGCCCTAATGTTCACAAAGGAGGCCACGTTGAGGCTAGAAATTTAATTTAGCCACACATGTTATAATTCAGCAACTCACAAGATTAGACTCTGACTTTAGCGATGACAGCCCTGTGACTGCAAGGATAAGATTATTGCAGGGCAGCATGGAGTACCATAGTCTGGCTGGAGCCTTGAGCTGGTCATTTTAAATCTTGTGTTGTCATTTTCCTTTTTAAGCTCTCGGGTGGAGTCAGAAGCAGGCGCCCTCCCCACCGTTCCATCTGCCTCGTTCTCATCGTGGTTCTCTCCCAGCCGCTGCTTGTTCTGATAAGCTTCATTCTCAGGTGCTCATTTCAGAAAACCACAGGCCATAATTTAAGTAATTTTTTTGCTCCTCCGCAGCACGGATTCCACGAATCCATTTCTCCTCTGGCTGCAGGTGGTCATCTCTGCCTTCAAATTCAGTCAGGTTGCATGTCTGATCCCAGACTCCCCACTTTATTTTTGAGGGTCTGATTTCTGAAGCCAGTTCAGCGCTGAATATTGTGTCTTGTGCCAGAAACAGAAACCACTCTATGCATTCTAAATAGAAGAGGATTCAAAACAAGGGGTTGGGTCCTCTTGTAATAGCTGGAAGCCTGCAGGAACTGGTTCAGGGCTCGGCCTCCGGAGGTGCTTCTGAAGTCGTAAGCTCCTGTGCCCTAGGGAAGCTGCTGCTTTTGAGGTCCTCCTTGAGGGTGTGCTGATGCCGCCTCGGCTGCCTTGCAAACTGGAGAGCTGGGGAAACGACCCCGGACGCTGCGATCCAGGGATTTAGGGAGTCAAAGCCAGTGGCTGTGACTGTGGCCGTTGCCCTCGAAGCCCAGCAAGCTGGAGGGTGCCAGTGGCGTGCTGGGGAGGATGTCTGCCCTCCCAGGAGCTCATCACTTACGTGAGAGACAGCTGGACGGCTACAGGAAGCCCGCTGCTGCCTCAGTTTCCCCTCCCAGGTCACCCCGAAGTCTGTCTGATGTGCAGAACTGAATTTTGCCATCCTGGCTTCTCATGAGGATAGAAAAAGAGTGGACTCGGGCGCACCAGTGACTGTCGAATACAGGGCCCTGGGAGGTTTTGCCTTTTGTGGGGAAAAGTTCCTACCTGTGGCTTGCCGTTCAAAACCACATCACTTTTATTTCAGGTGGGGGAGTTTGTCAGCAAGCCAAGTAAGATTTTTGCCAGCCACTTTTGCTGGCTGATCTTACTCCTCTTCTTTATGGCTCATAAATGTGAGCTGTTGCTGAAGTTCATTTTCAGCCATGTACTATTTGGCTTTTTCTGTATGCTCTTCACTGGAAAGCTTTTATCTTCATTATGATGAGTCTCACATCTATACTTTCAGTTCTTCCCTTCCTCCTGAGCTTCAGTTTTGCATGTCTACTGATTTGTTGACATTTAAATTTAGATACCGCGTTCTTTTTTATGGAATTTAAAAAAAATTTGGCTGTGTCGGGTCTTCGTTGTGGCACACAGGCTCTTTCACTGTGGCGCACAGATTCTCTAGTTGTGGTGCACAAACTCAGTAGTTATGGCACATGGGCTTAGTTGTGTCGTGGCATATGGGATTTTAGTTCCCTTGCCTGGGATTGAACCCTCGTCCTCTGTGTTGCAAGGCAGATTCTTAACCACTGGACCACCAGGGAAGTCCCAGCTACTACGTTCTTACCTAAAACTTGGCAGTCTCTGAAACAGCTGTTAAATTTGTCCTTAACCTCCTTGTTTCTGTTTATAATAATTATAATTAGTTACAGTAATTAGTCTTTTAAAAGTTAAAAACTCTCTTTGAGTTGCCCATTTACTAAAAATCCATGCCAGTCAGAAATGATTCATTCTCATCCTCTCTCCCCAGGGTACCCCACTTTCATCCCCGCTTCTGTTTCAGGAACATTGGATTTAATTCCCTTATGATTGATTTAGCGATTAAAGATATTAAGTCACATGACTCTCTCCTGTTGTTGTCTTGAACAGTTCCTTCCTTCAATGCCATGTAGCTGTATGTTGACTTTTTTGAAAGATTGTTCTAAACATATTTTCTCCTTAAAATAATAACAGTTCAATAAATATTTTTATTAGGAAAAAATGGTCTCTTGGCTGTGATTAGGAGCAGAAAAGAAGAGTTGTACCTTTTAAAATTAGAGACCTGAGTTCTCAGAGGTGATAGTTGTACACTCTGGCATTGAATAGTCTTTGTTCAGCATTATTGTCAACTTGGTCTTGTAAAAGTAACACTCTAGAAGATAAAAGCTACACTCAGTATCCTGAGTGTTTTGAGACAGGTCTGTTTTTGTTTGTTTACTAAATTGTGTTGGGAATTAACTGTATATTATAGGTGAGTTTCAGTCAAGGACTTCATGACCAGTTCTCTGTATCTAAAGTTGGAATCTATAGTGGTGTGGATCTTTGCAAGCATTTTCTCGCTCTGACCTATGAATAAGAAGATGCTTCCCTTACTGACTAATGGTCATTAGTAAGAGTCCACATGCAAAGTCTCAGTTTGTTTCACTGGAATAAGATACCGTTTCATCTGATCCTTTTCCTAGGACAGTTTCTTTGTGAAAGTCAGTACTAATATGACAAAGGACTTTATTAGCACTTTGTAAAATTCATGTTACAAATATCAGTATTTGATCATTTCAAATACTGAAAATCGTGTTATCTTTAATATGAAGGAAAAACATGCATTTCTAGGCCCATCCCCTCTGTTAAAAGTGTCAGTTTCTCTGGTTTCTAAGGGGATAAGAGGACTTAAGCTTTGCACTGATCAATACCTGTTGCCTTTCTATGTCATTACCACTGTTACAGAAACATTTATGAGATTATAACCTAAAACCATCATCATTGAATCTTTTGTTCCTTAATCCTAAATTACCAAGAAAAATAAAATACAATAATATAAACAATTTAAAAAGCATACAGAGGAGACAAAAATTGCTTAAAATTTTGGTGCATTGGTTCTAAGAGGAAATTTGGATTATTCAGCTTGATTTCTCTTTTTGTGTTGTTGCTGAAGATCTAATTCAAAGACATAAACTCAGATTATAGTTAAAAGCAAAAAGTAAGTTAAACACTTAGAAGAAATTGTTTATGGGAAGATTATTTTAAAAGAAAAAAGTGTGTTTTACAGAATAAGTCCTAATTTTCAAAGGCTTAAACTGGAAAAATTTGTTCCCGTATAGCACCATAAGTAATTTTGTCTCCAGTTTAGAACACAGGGTAGGGTGGATAAAGAAGGTATCCTAAAATTTGGTCATTTTTTAAAAGACCCACTTTCCTCTCAAATCTTAACAAGTAGGAAACAGTATGTGTTTGTTTTCTTGATCTTTTTGCTTCTCTCGAATGCCCTACAGGGGCATATGTTAAAAAGTAAAATTACCAAAAGACTGTCAACAGAAGGTAATGAGTAGCTACCCTTGATAATTAGTTCTTTGTGTAATTATATATTATTAAACTTATGAAAATTAAAAATACTTTTGAGGTAGTAAAATAACATGCTGAATGAAATCCAGAACTTTCAGATGTGAGAAAGCATAAAAATAGCATACGTTTAATCTTGTGCAGATATAAAATGAAGAAGATACTGAGCCATCAGTTACAATTTAAGGTTGCCCGGGAGCTATTGTAGACATCAGCTGACTCTGTTTCTATCTGCACTAACAATAATTTTTGCCTGAATGAATGGAGGAATAATTGGCTAGGGAAACCACTGTTAACATACTAGTTTTCTTCAAAACATGTATGGAGAAGATACAGTCTCATAGGGAGGCAGAAGAGAGCAGCAAAAGGATTCTGTAATTCTCTCTAGAAAGTTAAAGATTGAGAAAGAGGATATGATTATAAACTAAAAGATATGACACTCCACTATTTTATAACTAAAAGAATAATGTTTGAAAGAATTAGTTGATGACTGGTAAAATCTAATGTTATTTATATGGAATGTAGACAATTTAAAGAATTCTTTAATTCAGGGAAGTTTATAGATGATTACTTATAATAAATAGATTATTGCTTTATAATGAACTAGTAAGAAAATAAGGATGCTGTAGGATGCAGTCATAACTTTTGAGATTGTTATCAGCAAGAATTTGGGGCAATTTTCCAAAACTGAGTACTAGGGTATACAGATCATGAAGTAACTCTATCTTTACAATGAATATATTCTTCTGCTTTAGCTGTATTTTCATTATTTAAATTGTTTCATGTGAGACACTTTAGAACATAATACCTTTCTTGAACTACTGAGACCTCCCTTGTTTTCATACTTAGCATAAGTTTTAGTGCCCAGTTGTGTTAATTCAGACATTAAAGTTGTAAGTAATAGTATCAGTGTAGGCTTAGAAGAAGATTGAATACAATACTCTTTTTGAAATGCTTATCTGTCTCTCCTAGAAAAGTTTTTTGAAATGAAGAAAGGACAGTGTAAAGATGCTCTGGAAATCTACAAACGATTTCTAACTAGGATGACACGCGTGTCTGAATTTCTCAAAGTTGCAGAGGTAAGTAATATTAACTCATATATCTGGAGTAAAAAATAGAGTTCATAATCTGGCAAGACATTCTGCCACAGAGTCAAAATGTATTAGGGGCAGAAGTCATCTCATCCAGGTTCTCACCCAGATCTGTGCTCTATACTTCTGCATTTCAATCAGTAGGTCGTTCTGTGTCCAAATAAAAGTTTCATGGATGCTCAGCTCACTCACAGCTTTGCAAGGTGGTTCATCCCTCCATCCCAGCCAATGACTGTTCTTGATTGTAAGAAAGTTATTCCTTTGTATTGAACCCTAGAAAAAAGTCCTTAAAAAGTTTGTCGATTGTTCTCAGTATGTAAATGACAGACCATAAACTCAGACCTTTCTTACTTTATTATTTTGTCAAAATGATTTAAACACAAGGAAAAAAGGAAACAAAGTATAATTAATTTTATAAAGTTTATAAATTGTTTCTTAAGGATGTCTCTTTATAAGTAATCACAGTAAATGTGTAGCTATACAGTCCTGTTCCTGGGGTTATCTGTAAATTGGTGTTTTCTTTTACAAAATTCAATAATCAACTCATACTGATAGTGGAGATTATGACATTTTACTACAGTCCTCTGTCAGGATGATATATGGGATCCCTGGCATGTCAGCTAACTGATTGCTGATCCCTCAACTTTGTGAGAGGGGTTCTGAAGCTCATAAGCAAAGAATAAAATGGTGTGGACGTGGGACATTTATGCCATGTTTTTGCTGTTTTCACCATTTTCAGGCTATAACACAAGAATAGGAGTTTTATACATGTAATTTCAAAAGTACTCTAGTCTGTTATTTTTCACATTTCATTTATTCATAAGAATAATTGTCATATTCAAATTCTAAGATGAGAATAATCTTGCAGAATGCTATCTCTTGAGCTTAGACCCATTCAGTTTATAATCAGAATTTTTTAAAAAAATTATATAATATGGAAAACAAAAGGTAAAGACTAGCTGTATAAATTAATGCTTTAAAGCATTCATGTGTACTTCCATGGGTTTACTGAAGTTGGTGGCCTTTAAGAAGAATAGAACTGCTTGAAACTTTTGCTGCAACACAAGTTTTTTGTATTTTATATGATTTTCCCATGATTTAACCATAATTATCAGTATAATCTAGTAAAATTTGCCTACTTCTTTTCTGTGAAAAGATACCTAAGCATCCAGGGCAGAAGATTATTTCACAGTTCAATTAATTCCTGGTATACATTCTTTCCAGTGTTCTCATCTGATATTGTGTATATCAGAAAAATAAAGCATTGCACATGTTACAGTTTGAGGTATATATTTCTCTTTTTTTTTTTTTACCATTAAAAAAATTTTATTGGGGTATAGTTGATTTACAATGTTAGTTTTAGGTATACAGTAAACTGAATCAGTTATACATACAAACACTTTGGGATCCTCTTCTCTTATAGGCTATTACAGAGGACTTAATTTCCTGTCCTATACAGGTCTTTATTATTCAGTGGTAATAACAATGTTCATAACATTGAGCAATTATCACCACCATCCATCCCCATTAACTCTTTCACCTTGTAAAACTGAAACAATACCCATTAAGTATTTCTTCACTTCCTCATTCCCAGCTCCTGACAACCACCAGGAGTATTATTCTTCTAAAAATATATCCAGACAACCTATGTTTTCACCAATTCATCAAAAATAAAACTGGATGACTGTGTTAATAGTATAATTAAAACCTCAAATATTAAAAATGTTATGGTACTCCACCTAGAAATCCTCAACATTGGTGTCAATATGTGACAAACCTAATTTTAGTTTTTTGTAATGTACCTGGAAAGAGCTACAATTAGATGTCAACTGTGATGCTCATTCACTTTCACATCTCTAAATCTTTCTGTACCCTCTTGCTTTTACTCAGACCCACCTATTTTTATTAATCAACATGATAAGGCTGGGATCAAGGTCTCCATGAGAAAAGGGGTGCTTATTATCAATTCATTTTATTCTTACATGTAAAATTTTATTTTGTGTCTCTTGATAACTTCATGTTATCTCAGACCCATTTTAAGCTGCTGAGGAGATATACAGAAGTTAGATGTCATTTTGAGAGTTTTAAGTATTTTTATTTTATTCAGACTTGATGACTAAGACTTTTTGTAAATTAGATGAAAAAAAACTAAACGTGAATTGCTCAGTCATGCCCAGCTCTGCAGTCCCATGCACTGTAGCCTACCACGCTCCTCTGTGTATGGGATTTCTCTGGCAAAAATACTGGAATGGGTTGCATGCCCTCCTCCAGGTATCTTCCTGACCAACATATCAAACCCAAATCTCCTGCAGCTCCTGCATGGCAGGCAGATTCTTTACCATCTGAGCTATCATGGAAGCCCAGAAAGGATACTAATTGACAAAATTGTTTTTAGTATAATAAATATTAATCGCAAGGGGCTGTGTTCTCTTTCATATTTAAATTACATTGTCCATAATTTAAACACTAACTGAATACCAATGTTTAGTGGTTTGATTATGAATGTTAAATACAGAGAATTTTCAACAAATGTACAACCCTTCTCTTTCTATGAAAAGTGATTGTGTGGGTACATATGTATGGACTTCCTCCCGGTAAGCTACCTTGTCGTTAACACCACTTGTCTGAAGGACGTGTAGGAGACTTCCACAATGTTGTTTATGAAATATGACTTTATTATAGGCTGTTTGGCAAATGTTAACATTAAGTTGTCCATCATATTAAAAGAAATACCATAGTTCTTGTGGCCGTATCCAAATTTTGCAGAGGAATTGCTTGAAGTACAGAAAACTTGCCATGTTTTGAATTCTTACGCTGAAGCTTCTAAAGCAAACAGCTGAAACTTTGTAAAATGGTTATTTAACAGGTAATAGGCATGTCTGCTAAACACACTTCCCTTTTATAGAACTAAGTTATTCTTAGTTTGTGATTCCAAGGTAAATACCAATTCGTAGGAGTTATGTCTCCCAGAATACTTGCAGACAGAAAGTGATGAGGTTTCTGTAGTACAGTCACACTTCAGCTCTATCCCCCTAGTTAAGTGTTCAGGGCGGTAAAAAAAGCAATATAAAGGAAGAATTCCTAAACTGTGTCTTTAATAAAGAGTTACCCACTTAATAGAATCACATCACCTTTTGCCTACATGATTCCAATATTAAGACTCTATAATGCTTCTGGTTTCCCTGGTGGCACAAACGGTAAAAAATCTGCCTGCAATGCAGATGACCCAGGTTCAATCCCTGGGTCGGGAAGATCCTCTGGAGAAGGGACCGGCTACCCACTCTAGTATTCTTGACTGGAGAATTCCATTGACAGAGGAACCTGGTGGGTTACAGTTCATGGAGTCACAAAGAGTTGGACACAAGTGAGCATCTACTACACACACATAATGCTTTAACTTCAGACATGCTGACTTCATTCATATTAGTATTTTAATAGATCATCTAAAGAGGTATTGATATACGGAAAGGTGAAATTGCCTTAATTTATAATTCCATAATTTGAAAGAATGTGAGCTTAAGGATGACACAGACAGCTCCCAACAAAGAATTACCACCCCAAAATGTTGATATCACCAAGGCTGAGAAAGCTTGCTGGAGATATAGAGAAGGCAAAAGGAAGAAGTTAGCTCATATGTGTCACTCACGTGGATTTTCCACTCTCCAGTTTGACATACTGTCCTTGCAGAAGCCTGACACTTAGACTTCCTGTGTGTGCTTCTACATTTCCATCAGCTTAACAAAGCCCTTTGATTCTCAGAGAGATACGTGGTATATATAACCCACTTTGTTTCTGTAAGCCTCAGTTTCCTCATTCATACAGCATGAGAGAACTGAAGTTATGATTTGTATTTTATCCCAACTTTTTATTTTGAATAATTTTCAAATGTATAAAAAGAGTTGATAGAGTTGTATAGTGGACCCCTGTATACCCTCTTCATTGATTGACCTTAAAAAAGTGAATCTGTTTCCATATTTGCATTCTTACTAGCTCTGTCCCTCCCTCCCTTCTCTTCCTTCCCCAATCTACCAAGATTAAAAATTCACATGTGCTTTAATTTAGTAATTCTACTTCTACAAATGTGCCCTATAGATGTATCCACACAGGTGCAGAATGATGCATGTAGCATTGCTTGCAATGGCAAGAGATGGGAAGCAACTTAAATGTTCATTAATAAGTGACTTATTAGATAAATTATAGGATAAGGAAGCTGCTTCAAAAAATGAGGAAACTCTGTATATTAATATGGATGGGGCTCTAAGAACATTGTCAAATGAAAAGTATAATCCCAGTGCATATGGTATACTGTTATTGTATAGTAATGTGGGAAATAATTAATGCATTTATATATTTCCTATTTCCTTGTATATGCATAAAGAAACTCCAGAAGGATACAAAAGAAACTAACACGGTGATTCTCCCTGTATGAGGAAGCGTGGACACTATACCCTGAATGAGTTATTAAAATTAAATGAGTATTCTGTGTCCAGAGGACTGACCAGGCATTTAAATTTAGCTTAAGCATTTAAAAAAATTTCTAGTTGCTATTAACCATGGAGGAAATTTTTTACACTTCAGTTTCTTAAGTTCTTTTTTGGGGGGTTCTAGTTAAATTCTTTTCATTTGTTATTTCTAACTCTGTTGCCAAAATCATTGCTCTTTTGTTGATTGGAAAGCTACACAAAAAGCACATATTCAGAATGAGATTAATGTACATAATAACAACTGTTTTTTAGCAAGATTGAGCTGTGCTTTTAACTAATACTCTAGGTGATCTAAGAAATTAATTTTTAAAATCCTGTTAAGTAACTTTTTTTTTTTAACCCACAGCAAGTCGGCATTGATAAAGGTGACATTCCTGACCTCACTCAGGTGAGTGATTGTCTAAGTGAAAAACTTAGTATGCATGAAATTATTAATCCATAGTTTATCATAAATGGTCTTACTGAGGGCAGAGTCTTGTAAGCATTTGATGCATTTTGAATGTAGGCCAATCACCTTTCTTGGAAATCATTCTAACTTACTTATTTTTTCTAGCTATTAAATATATTTCTAGAGATAATATGAAGATTTTCCTACTCTTATAAAATCATTTCTTTTTAAAAGGCAACTGAATATACTTATTGAGCTCATTTTTTCATTCTTAAATCAAAAGGAAGCTTTGAATAATGTTTAAAAGGTGCTTTATCCATGAAACATGACTGTATGTAGGCATGTAATGAGAACATTTGAACTGTTTTTCTGCTTCTTCTAGTTTTCAATGTGTCCCAGGGATGGAGAAGGGGGCACAAATAAGGCGAACACTGATGTCATATTTCTACTACACTATTTTTTTTCTCCCCTATGAATGGGTGGAATGCCTATATATGAAAAAACCTTTTTTTAAAAAAGTAGTAGTGGTAGATAAGTGATTTTCTGGACTTTCTAGAAAGCAAAAGCAGTTGTAGTGCTTCCTTATGAATCCTTTTATCTGTTAAGAGAGTACACTGTAGAGCTCCTCTGATGTAGAATTGAGACCATTCATACATGCACAGACTTATTGTAGGACTTTTCTCCTAATTGGCTGGAACTGTTTTTGTTTAATCAGCTTGTCGGTCTGTTATAGTAGATTTCTATCCCAAACATGTTCTTTAACTCAAGATAGGTGATAGGAGAAAGTATAGAACTGTCATCATATATATATCAGTAATGAATATATGAGTTTGCTGTCTTTGTAAATTAAAAAAAAAAGTTATTATTATTACCCCTTAAAATGTCCCCATATTTAAATAATGTTAACCTTAAATTTTTGTTAAAAATCAGAGAAACCCAAAGTAATGATCTCTGTATTTACAGTATTAAAATATCAATTAAATACCAAGGATTCTTTATAAATAAAACTCAAAAAACAATTCAGAACATGAGGGCATTGTGATTTTTTTTTGGGGGGGGTGCATTGTGTTTTTTGATTTAAAAGTTGGGCAATAGCAAACTTCCCTGACAGTCCAGTGGTTAAGACATCACACTACCAATGCAGGGGTTGTGGATTCGATCCCAGGTTGGGGAACTAAGATCCCACATGCTGTGTGGTATAGCCAAAACATAAAGATAAAACAATAAAAATTGGGAGATAACACCTTCTATTAGAGTATCTTATACTTTATTATGGAAGTATTTTATATTTCCAATAGCATTAAGTATTTTTGCTACTATGAGAAGATAGTGTTCTTTAATCAGTTACATACCTAAATAAGATATTGGTATCATCTTGGTTATGGTTAAAGATTAAGTGTGCATAAAATACTATTAAAATATCTTTATTAGATAAAGATTTATGGATTTTGTACCACTATAATAAAAAGCAAAAAAATCAGTGTACTTTCATTTAAAATTATTTAATTATAATAAACATTTTCATGGCAGTTTTTAAAACTAACCCAGATAAATTATATGTTAACCCCCCCAAAAAAGGTGGATATTTAACTCAGAGATTAGCTTTTAGAAATGTTGAATTATCTTTATTTCAACTACATAGACTGTTCTCGCCATGGAACAGAAGTAAAACGATATTATTGTTTAATAGGCTGGCAGGTAAAATGAAAATAGGTCCTCAGTTGTCTCACTTAGTTTGGGCAGAGTCTGAAGGGAGACAAAGAAAGGTTTAGAAGAATATGTAAATACCTTTTTGTTTTTAAAATTAGAAAATTATTAAAAGAAGATTTACAAACTTGGGTTTAATTTTAATGATATGTAATATTCATTATAATTTATATAATCTCTCAAGTCTAGAGACATAATATTTTATTTAATGATGTTTGTATTGTCATAATTTGAGGAACAAAGCCCCGCCCTCATCCTTAAAGAAGATAAATCTTGCTCTGGATCTTGTATTAATAGAAAGCTGTTCTGATGCAGAGATTCATTAGACACTGGTAACACTCTCTCCTCTGCTTTTGTTATGACCTTAAGAGTAACATAAACTTCAATATTAGCATTTATTTTAAAATTACCTCCTTATTAAAAAAAAATCCTCTACTTCATTTCTCCAACATATATTTAAGTCTCAATTCAAGAGTATTGTGTGATTCTGGTATTTCATAACAAGTAACCTAATTGTGGTTTTTGTTGGGATCATTAGCAGAAAAACTAAACACACTGCCTAATTTTTATTTAGAAGTCTCCATAGGTCTTATTGGAGGCTCATCATTGGATGGGGGGTTTAGACCCATTGTGACATTCTGGTCTGATCCAAGCTGAAAGGTGAGCTGTTCTAAGGTTAGTCCTTCAGATAGGGGTAGACCAGGACTAATCTGGAAATGGGTCAGAAATGCCAACCTGGGTGAAGTCTAAGATCTCTGAGATTAGATTCTGCTCTCTGCCAGCATACTCTGTGGCAGCCATGACTGTTGAATCTAGCCATGGCAATGAACAAAAGTACCCACCAAGGAAGAGGATTAAAGAGGAGATGGGGACCAGCAGGGCAGTAGGAAAAGGCTGTTCCTAACTGAGAAAGGATTAGAATTCCTTTTGCAGCAAGATGACACAGAGGAATTGAATGGATGTCTTTTAACTTAGAAAATGCACAATAAATACCAGTGTGACATCTGTAGCCCTTCTTAAGTTGTGCATATAATAGCATCATAACAGCATTTTAAATGATTTATAAATATTGAAGAAAAATATTTTTAAATACTCAAAAGTACAGTACTGGATAAGAAGTGAATGTGATGGCAGAACTGAAATATTTCTCCTCAACCCTTTCCAATGGTTTCTTAGAGCTAATGATCAAAAATTAGAATGCTCTTTTCGTTGCTTTTTTTTTTAATTTGGTTTTAATGATGCTTTAGAATCTGAAGCATCTGAGTTGTAGATGGATGGTTCCTTTCAAAATCAGCTATGAATTTGTTCCAAGAAAAGGATTTTCAAAATATTATTTCCTGTTTGGTGTGTGTGCATGCATGTTCCAAATTTAATATATATCCATTTATGAAAAACATCTTAGGTTTTGATGTCAGGAATTCTGGTTGATCTGAAAACTACTGGTAAAGAAAAGTCTCCTTTTAAAGACTGTACCACTGAATCAGTAATCATGATATATCACTGTTATTTATTCGCTTTCACAAGCTGCCTCTTATTATTTGGGTTGGTGTTTTCATCTGATTGGTCTGTTGACTTCAGCATTATTTAAAATAAGCCACTAAGGATACGGCTGATTATTCTGAAGTTCCTTTTACAACAACAGAGGCATTCTCAAAATTTTGCCCCTTTGGAAATTTGAGACAGCTTTCATTTTTGTCTGCTGCATGGCAGGATGTGCTCATTGCCATAGATGGAGTTGAGAAGGCCAGCATTCCTACACTCACGAATTTTTTTTATCAAAGTAGTTTTTTCCCTCTGAAAATGTTTGTGTTTATTTCTGTTAGATTTAAAATATCCTAATGAGAGATATAAATAATAAAGCATTTTTGAACCTCTAAGGTAAAGTGCTGCAAACTTAATTTTATGTGCAATGCATTGCAAAGTAACACCTCAGAGTCTGTTTTACAGTATATGTTTGTCTCAACTATTGTGATTTTTTAACTACTACTTTGTTTTTAATTTTTTTCTTAAATTATTAAGAAATTAAAAAAATGAAACTGCAAACTATCATCCTAGTTTTTTACTTTTTGTTTTAGATAATTAAGAAATTATTTATATAGGAAAAAACTACTTCTTTTATTATCAATTTGTTGTCAATTTAATGTAGTGTTCTCTATTTTGTAACTATAAATAGTATTCTTTAAACAGATCTAGCACAGAATTACATTTCTTTTACATTGCATTTAATATTCAGAGGACCTAAATCTTTTAAAGTTCTATGCCCAGGCCTCCTAGGTTCCAATATTATGACCATTATAATGATTATAGTTATGACAATACTGCAGTTTTGAAGTTATCAAGTGTGGATACATCTAAAAATTGTGAAGCCGTTTCTGTCTTCTTCTTTTCAAGGTTACAATACACATTCTGTTTATTAAGTGATCACATCTTAGTAGTTTATAGTTTTGCCGTAGAGCAAAATTTCCTTTATCTCTTGAAAATTCATTTTTGAAAGCTTAGAAGTGTACCCTTAGTTTTAGTTTACTGTAATTTGCTAGGTCCGCTTTTACCTGAGCTGTATTTAAAAATTCTAATTTTATAGTTTTCAAAATTTATTATACCCCCTGATAATCATTTATTCTGTAGACATTAACTTTTTATATAATGCTTATAGAGCTAGCTATCTCTTTGTACCCTACCTTCAGCACTTTGGTCAATTTAATATTTTTATTCACTTACTAGTTTGTAAATTTATGTTTGGCTCACTTAGTAATTTGCACTTGAAATAATCAATGTAATTACATATATAATAGTCATTATTGTTAAAACAGCTTATGAGCCTGTTAGTAAAATGAAAATGAATATTAAATGTCTGAACTTCCAGAATTAAAATATTTCAATAAGAATTCTATTTTCATTTGTCATTGTAAGTACAACATAAAATGTACAGTTGTATAAATCACCTTGAATTCTGTGAGCTATTTCAGCATTTAGCATAGTTACTATAAAATGCTTCAAAATTAATTTTATATTAATTAAGAAAACAGTTATCAAAATTAATTTATCTATAAATGTTATGATAGTCTTTGAATGCCTATGCTGCTGTCAAGGTCTAATTTGAGTTAAGATTTTTCAAGAAAGGTGAAATTATATTTCTAATAGTTGAGGAATAGATGTGGTAGAATATTTATATGAACCTATCATGTCTCTTTTTAATATACAGTAAAATGCCATCAGTTTATATTGCCTAAAAATTATGAAAACAAACATTCAGATACTTCTTAATAAGAGTTGAAAATATGTATTAAATTTGTCGAAATGTAGTAGTCTTATTATAACATTAATATTTGCTAAAGTTTCTATATTATGTATATAAATAGCTCAATAATAAGAAAATCTTAATTGTGGTCAACTATTAAAACTATATTTCCCCGCCACAACTTTCACTCTCCCTTTTTTAATAAAGTGATGACTTTCTCTACTATTTCAGTCGAGTGTGGATAAGTGAGATTTTACTGTATTTTCATATTTCTGTATGTTTGTATTTGGGCACTTATATTTTTGATTTGGATGTAAATATCTTTACTTTTTCACTGTGGTCTTACAGAAATACATTGTGAATTTGATTTAATTGTTTACTACATTTAAATAATATCTTTAAAAAAGTCTATCTGATGTAATTTATACACTGAAACCACACTGTAACACTATTTGTTATGCAGTGAAATTATGTATATGTAAGATGGGATGGGCCTCTTTGAGATTGTGTGAAATTTAAATACTTAAGTACCAAAAGCACCTGGGATGAAATTATCTCCCATACGTACTGGGGTACACAGACCTCCACTAGTCAGAGTTAACAGTGATGTTCCAGTGTGTTTATTTTGAAAGAAAGCAGTGCAGACATTTATTTTCTTCTTTCTTATTGTAGGCTCCCAGCAGTCTTATGGAGACCCTTGAACAGCATCTAAATACATTAGAAGGAAAGAAACCTGGAAACAAGTACGCATTAGTTGTATATGAATAAGACAGAAAAATACTAGAGTTGTTCTTTATACAATGAGATTTATCATGGTACTGCAGTTTCATGGTATGCTTTATTGTAATTCTCCTCAGTTCCCTCAAAACCCCCCACCCTTCCCGTTAACTTATGATAGCATAACCCCATATAGGTGATCTATTTGCGGGCTAATGCAGCAGATTAGTAGGTTGTACCTGTGTTGGCTGAACTTGCTGACTTATTTATTTGCCCTCAGAAGGGACTCACAATCCTCAGAAAAAGAGTTGCTTGTGTCTAAAAGTTGAGGCTGTCATCAATGGGCACAAGTAAGAATGAGCCCAATTTCCCAAGCAGCCTTTGAAGGCTGTTATGTTACCAACCGCACTGTGGAAAAAGCAAAGCCCTCTGGCATCGCTTTCTGCACTCCAGACTTTCCCCTCGTGGACCCTTCGGCATGGCATGCTGCTGACACTTGACTCAGAGATCTTTTTCTAGACAGAGTAGCAGTCGAGCAGTGAGAAGTGCACTTTTAGTATATTTTCAACCTTTGTGTCTGGACACTTAAGATTTATGTACATTTTTCCCGATCACATGCCAAAAGTGTCCAGGTTCCATTTTTGTTCCCTCCAGCCAGGGTCATACTTGTCTGTTCACAAGACCTGATCCTTTTCTGTTTTACTGCCTTGCTTAGACTGTAATTCTGCTAATCTTGGATGCCTGCCTCTCCTTGCCTCTGTGTGTGGGCATCTTATACATCCCGGGAAGGCCATCTCATGAAGCCTTCCTTAATCATGCACTGCACTGTGTTATGACTTCCCTTCTCCTCCTCCCCTCACCCTCATATGTACTTTAAATGGATTTTCTGTTTGCTAAGGTCAGAGACTATTTTGTACTTCATTATCTTCATCTAAAAACTTAATGGAGCTGTCTCTACAGAGCCAGTGTGAAATCTGTTTTGTTGATGTTCCCAGCTGTAAGTTGATTCTGTTTAGATTGACAGCAGAAATTGGCAGAGACAACCCATGAACTGCTCATTGCAGGGCTGTCGGCTGACCGTGGATTTTACCTGTGATACAGCTATTAAAATACATCTTCTCTCTGCTTGTTTCTCTCTGGGCATTCTCCTAGAATCTAGATTGTTGTGTCTCAGAGTCACTTTTTTTCCTTGTTGTTTCATTAGCTAAGGGTTATTTGTCTATTACAAGTTAGTATAAAAATTATTGCATGTCTTAAATTTTCAATAATAAGCAATGACGTGGGACTCTCTCAGGCAGTGATGCAGAGCTGTTTGGAGTGACGAATGGCAGGACCTTTCAAGGGCTCTGTCAGGGTTGTACTGTTGTTCCAGACCTGTCCCCACTTCACTGTTGGCCAAGGATGATCGTACTTTTGTGGGTAGATTGACGTCACCTGAAAAGGCATGAGAGTAGTAAGTCACAAAAGAAGGTGGCCACTTCCAGTAATTGCAGCCCCTTCCCCCACACCATATTAGGGTGTCTAGGAAGCCAGATGAGTTACCTAGGATTTAAACCAAAGGACACAGGAAGCCTGAGCAGTGTCCCTGCTCCTCTGGCCGGTGCAGAGCCTCTCCCTGGGCAATGCAGGATGCGCATGGGTGCAAGGCGGATAAGCTGGCTTATCTGCCGTCTTTTCCCCTCATGTCCTCACACCCCGCACAGGTCTGCCCTTTTCCCTGCTTAAGTCGGCCGGGGCAGCATTCATGTGAAAAGCCATCTCCCAGAGTGAATTTCATCAACCTAACTTCAGATCTCAAGCTGCCCCCTTGTGGCTGCTACAAACTATTTTGGGGCTATTTAGCTATGGACATTTAGAGTAGTAAAATAAAAACTTAATGGTCTTTTGTTTTGAATTACCTTTGAGCATAATTTTCCTTTCTCCTTTAAAATCATTTTATGCTTGTCAGATTTCTTTTCTGAATTGGCTAAGACCACCTCTGAACTTGTCTTTGCTTATTCCCTATTTTTAAAATAAATGAACTATAGTAGTTAACTGTTTATTTCTTTGTATGTTTGTGCTTACCTGGGAACTTAAGTGAAGGGTGAGTACTATATTGAGTGACTTTTTTGCATTTGGTTATTACTAAAAATGCAAAAAACACTCTTAAGATTCCACATTTGGTATTTAGAACATTTAAAACTGATTTCTGTCCATTTTACATATCTGTGTTTTTTCCATTATACTTTTGAAATTTGTCTCTCAAGGTGACTGGCATAAATGGTTTTACTTTATTTTGGTGTTAAATCAAGACTAATGAACTCTCTTAGGTGGCTGTACAGATATTCCTCTTAGATTTTAGAAATCAAAGACTTCTTCACTTGTTTAGTAAACAAAAGATTACCCTATGGCTCATGGCAAGAACTACCAAAAGACAGTGTTACAGAGAAAATTAATTAAAGAGGTTTTCTTTGTCTTCTAGGAGCAGTATAAAATTATTCTAAGTAGATACTTAAAAAGAAGCATTTTCAAATGTCTGCCAAAAAATATGTAGGCCTTTTATATTTAGTGCCTTATATCCACTGATAACTCATTTTTGGAATTTTCTGCAATACTGTGTGATATGCATTTGTACATTATCTGTTTCGGTAATTCCACAGAACAAAAGAGAAAACTTGATTTTGTTTTCTATGTGGATTTACTAGCTGTTGAGGGTGCAAGAAACCTCACGTTTAGTGTAATTAAAATTATTTGGAAGAGACAGGTTTTTCTCATATGCAGTTTGTCTATTTTTCTGGCTAGCATTTGTGACCAAAACTGTGTAGGGATTAGTGTTATGAATAAGAAATAAAATGTCTTCTTTTGATAGCTTACCATTAACACATTGGTAGCAAACCTTGGCATTTTCTGTGTTCGTCATAAAAACCTATGGTTTGTTTGTAACGTTTTTACAAGATTTAGGGTACATTACTATAGGTCATTCTTTCCTGTCTTAAATTACATTCATGCCTTATTTTTCCCCAACATGATTCACAGTGTACTAAATTTCTCTAGCTGAAGTAATTGAAATAAGTACTGAAATAAGTACCAGGCTTTAAATAATGTCATATTTTATATCTAAAGATTATAGCATTTTCTTAAGGGTTAACAGCCAGTGGTAGGGTAGGAAATCAGCTAACGAAGAGGTAAAAAGAAGCAGTTCGTGTATTATGTAAGAGAGGAACAAATGTGCTGGGCTCTCCTGTGTTTTTCGTCAGGACAGGCTGGAATGTGAAACGTGCACAGACAGACTTGGACTGGAGCCTGAAATCTACCATTAAAGAATGATGAGGCTTGGGCAAGTTATTTACCTTTTTGAGCCTCAGAGCCCTCAGACTTTAATCAGTGATGAATGATGCTTCTTAAAGTAGTGGCCCCAGTGGGAACACCTCTGGTTCTACCTTTTTGAGGAAATTATGACGAAACCTGGATCTGGTCCATGGAAACAGAGATCGTACATCCTGACAGTTGTTTCATAACAAAATAACTGTTAAAGATGTTTGGCTAATTTATTCTGCAATATATTTATCTGATATAAAGCAGTGAGATAGATTCGCTTCCTTCAAAAAACTTGGCATCTAGTGGCAAAGACAGGCGAATAAGATACAGTGCAATAAGTGGAATGATTGGAGGAGACAGACAGTAGGAGATTTTTGCTTATTCCACGGGGTAACTACAAATGTCATTTAGTAATAGAACTCATGCAAGAGTTTGGCAAGCTGATTCTTGTGCCAGTGATGATATTTTGTACTTAGGTTTGAGCATGATATTCTTTAATAGTATGTGGAGAAATTATGTCATTTTTACTATATCTTTATTTTGCTACAGAGCACAGAATATGTCAGAAACTTTTATATATTAGTTTGGACCCGTAGTTCAAAAAGTTCTTGTTCATCCTCAGTTCTCTTTTCTGCATTAATATTTCTCATTGTGTCGGTACCACTAAGAATTGATTCATGAAAAGCTCTTGAGAGAGAAACAAATTAATTTCCATTAACTCATTCTTAGAAAGTGACCATGTCAGATGACTTCTATGTTTCTGTTTTGACTTTGCAGAGTTAAGACTATTACTTTCTTGAGTTTTTATTTAGACCTAACTCCTTTCCTTTTCCACATATTTAAAGAGAAGAAATGGTAGGAGTGGAGAAATTATTAACCAAAAACTCATTAAGGGATTTTCTACCTTAGTACTAGATTTGTAGGTTCCTAAGTTTCTGAGATACAGAGAATCTGTGATTCCATTTATTTCAGTAGACCCTTAATAAGCAGCATACATAAACATATATCCTTTTCTTCATGGGGTATGTTTACACTGAAGATAGCAGCCAAACTAAACATAGCCTAACCAAGCATTACCCTTAGGCTTCTATCTACATTATATCACAGAGATCTCTGTGAGCCCTTGTTTTCATGTTCATTTTCAGTAAAAACTAAACAGGAAATGGCAGGCATGTGTTTGCAGATGAAGTTGAACATAAGAGATATTAAAATGCATCTAAAATGTTAAATTTCTTTTGCTATATCCAGTAAAACGAAGAATTCATGATACTGTACCAAACTCCAGTTACTAAATCTCTGCTAATTTTATTTTGCTCCTGCCACCTGTGCTATTATCTCTGTAAATAAATAGAAGACCCTGATGATATTCTTCTTATTTAAATCTCTTTTTTTCCCTTCATCATGTTTCCTTACTAATTTATTTTCTGACAACTCAAGGTAGTAAAATCTAAGCTGTTTAGGCAGTTGTTTCTGAAGCATTTTGCTGGAAATGATATACAATAATCAGTGCCACCAGTAATCTAACTGAAAAAAGAAATGTATTTCATCCTGATTTTCCCTCATTCCCATAGAAACAAGCATTGAGGTTACCATTCTTCTCAAGCTCTCACGTTTTCACAGGGTAACGAGAACATTTCTCATAGATAGTTTTCATTACAGCCATGAAAAAAAAGACAAGCTCTAGGACATGAAAGCTGAGACACATATCAGGCATGGGGTGTGTAGGGATTTCTTTTATTCTGGTGTTCCTTTTATGTATCACAATTTGATTAAATGAATCCCAGTCCACTTTAACCTTCATGGGTTTTCTAACTTTTAAAAATACTAAACCAGATAGTTTTGAAAAAAGAATCTATAAAGCATTATTTTTCCCAGGTCTTCTTGGGCAAATTTTTTAAAATTGCAACTCGAGGAGTTTATTTTTGATGGACGTAGGCAATACAGATCAACTCCAGTAGTTAACTGAGTTGCTAGAGATACAAAAAAAGATTTTGAATTTAAGAATTTTTAGCACTAGAAGTTTAGTGGATGGAAAATATTAGAAGAAGATGTCAGATAAAACTTGTTTTTAGAAAATAGCTTATGCATCACTAAAAAAAGGTCTGTATATAAACAAGTTAATGCTTGACCAAGCATCAGACTTAAATGCTTCTACAAATGTATTCAGGTTTATTTAGTTTTTATCCTTTTTGGTTTCCTTTTAGATCTGGTGCTCCCTCTCCATTAAGTAAGGTAAGTTTGTCTTGTGTTTTGACTTTTTTAACAACTTTCAATTGTAGAGTTCAGTGACAGTAAGTACATTCACTTTGTTGGGCAGCCATCGCTATTATCCATTTTGGAGAACATTTTCTTCCCAAGCTGAAACTCTGTACCCTTTAAACACTTACTCATCATTCCCCACCCTCATCCCCTACACCCCCAGCTCCTGGCAAGGCACCGTTCTATTTTTCTTTGCTATGATTTTGACAACTCCAGGTGCCTCAAATAAGTTGAACCGCTCAGTATCTGTTCGTTTGTGACTGGCATATTTTACTTAGCAGACTATCTTCCACGTTCATCCATGTTGTATTGGGTTGGCCAAAAAGTTCGTTTGGGTTTTCCCTTTAGATCTTAGCATATATCAGAAATTTCCTTTCTTTTAAAGTCTGAATACTATTCCATTCTATGTATAGACCACGTATTGTTCATCCATCCCTCCATAGATGATCACTTAGGTCACTTCCACCTTTTGGTTATTGTAAATAATGCTTCCGTGAACATGGTATACAAATATCTGTTCGAGTCCCTGTTTGCAGTTCTTTAGAGTCTGCACCCAGAAGTGAAATTGCTGAATCATATGATAATTTTGGAGGAGGGCATGGCAACCCACTCCAGTATTCTTGCCTGGAGAATCCCATAGACAGTGGAGCCTGGTGGGTTACAGTCCATGGGGTCACAAAAAGTCGGGCCAACTGAGTGACTAACACCTTCACTTTCATGGTAATTTTATTTTGAATTTTTTGAGGAAAGGTAAGGTAATTTTTTTTTAAATTTCCTCTTACATTAGTCTCTCAGTCCAATATCGTATGGCAATGTCTACTTAGCCCTTTGTCTGGACTAAAAATTTTTTTAAGTAGGAGAAATTTTCATACATTTATATTACAACTGAGAACAAATATATCAGTGTAACATCTTACTAGTTTTAAAGGAGTTTCAAGAACTCTGAATCACAGCCTGGTGAGATAAATAAGGCACATGATGTTGTGCCTGCCTTGATGGTGCATGCGTGTTAAGTCACTTCAGTTGTGTCTGACTCTTTACGATAGTATGGACCATAGCCCACCAGGCTTCTCTGTCCATGGGATTCTCCAGGCAAGAATACTGGAGTGGGTTACCATGCCCTCCTCCAGGGGATTTTCCCGACCCAGGGATTGAACCTGAGTCTCTTGACGTCTATCTGCACTGATACATGGGTTCTTTACCACAATGCCACCTGGGATGGTAATGAAACCAATTGTTGTTGGGTATCCTTCCAAACACATCTTTTAGACAATCTGTCGTAATAACTGTCAGAGCTCCTTCCACTCCCTTTCTCCTTTAGCGTCTTGTAAAGACAGGATTAGGGTTGTCAATGACAAGAGTGATTTAGTTCTATAGGTCGGTAGTTTAGATTTGCCATTGTATTTTTCAGGCAAAAATGTGATATGATGTGCTCTTTGCTCTTTGCCGAATTTCTGTCATGTAACTAATATTATTACAGACAAGAAAGATGGCATCATGACTGCCCAGGGTACCCCAGACACCCGTACTCTGTCAGTACGTGGCCATCTGCCTGAGAATCCCTCGGAGAGCCAACAGTCAGACAGACAAACAACCGAAGCTCCCTGGTGATTCTGCCACACAGCTGACTGTAAAATCACGTCTGTGGAAGAATTCTGTCCTAGGCCTGCCGAGTAGAGTGTGATGAGATTCTGGAATCCTTTTAAGATGGTCTGTTTTGGCATTTTGGCCAAATCAAATTTTGACTTTTTTTCTTTTTGTGATAACAGGATTATTTTGGTTCTGTTTTCCTCCCTTCCTCATCTCTTCAGAGCTTATTACTCCAAGGCAGTTTTTAATAAGCCTTTGGAGACCATTTCTGCATTTCTGTTTGTAGATTCATTGCTGTCAGTACATCCTCCTTGGTATTTCCTAAACATCACTTTCTAAGCTTATTTACATGTGTCGGTTGAAACAAAAACCACAAATTTATTTCAGAGTTGTCAGTGTCCACAGCGGACAGCATGCGAATTCGTTTTTGTCAGTTGTTTCTATTCCCTTGTTACTCTTTCACATTCTGTTTGGAAACTTTGAATTTTTGGTGAAGAACAAAGCTTGAGTTGACCCTTTCCAAGCAGCAGTGTTCATCCTGCTCTTGGGTTCATCTTTCATCTTTTTTGGAAGCGCTGAGTGCTTGACACTTGTACATCTTTGGATTTTGAATTTGTTATTAGCTATATTCTTAGTGCTTCTGCCCATACTCAGTCACTCAGTTGTTTCTGACTCTTTGCAACCCTATGGATAGTGCCAGGTTCCTCTGTCCGCAGATTATCCTGGCAAGAATACTAGAGTGGGTTGCCATGTCCTCCTCGAGGGGATCTTCCTGACCCAGGGATTGAACCTGCGTCTCATGTCTCCTGCGTTGGCAGGTGGGGTCTTTACTACTGAGCCACCTGGGAAGCCCAAGTAAGAATACTGGATCAGGTTGCAATTTCCTCCTCCAGGGGATCTTCCTAATCCAGGGATCAGACCCCTCTCCTGTGGCCTCCTGCATTTGCAGGATAGTTCTTTACCACTGAGCCACCTGGGAATCATATTCTTAGGCAAATAGCTGTTTGTTGTTCAGTTGCTAAGTGGTGTCCCACTCTTTGCAAGACACCGTGGACTGCTGCATGCCAGGCTTCCCTGTCCTTCACTATCTCCCAGAGTTTGCTCAAACTTATGTCCGTTGAGTTGGTGATGCCATCCAATCATTTCATCATCTGTTCTCCCCTTCTCCTCCTGCCCTCAATCTTTCCCCACATCTGGGTCTTTTCCAATGAGTCGGGTTCTTCATATCAGGTGGCCAGAGTTTTGAAGCTTCAGCTTCAACATCAGTCCTTCCAAAGAATATTCAGGATTGATTTCCTTTAGGAATGACTGGTTTGACATCCTTACTGTCCAAGGGACTCTCAAGAGTCTTCTCCAACACCACAGTTGGAAAGCATCAATTCTTCGGCACACAGCCTTCTTTATCGTCCAACTCTTAACATCTGTACATGATTCCTGGGAAAACTATAGCTTTGACTGTATGGACCTATTAAATAGATACTATTTAAGTCTGGAAACTCCTATACATTGCTTATCTCCTCAGTCCTTTTTCTTAATTTATTCTTTTTCAAATTTCCTCTACATTTGGTCTGCTTGAAATTAGACGTCCTGTTATAGCAGTGGCTGATGGCCCTTTCTTGGTCTTGGTCTTTGTGCATTTTGCTTGCTGTTATGTATCATTTCCACTTACAGAACTGAGTATCAGTGGACTGTTGTTGTTTTTTTCCCCAGTGGACTGTTTTGAGATGATCCATTCATCTTTCTTTTGTGAATACAGGCAAATTAAATATACCAAGTTAAAAAAAAATAGAATTAGGATAGTTACTATACAAGCATATTATTTTTTTAATATATTATCTGACTATCAGGTCCTCTTCTTAAACCAGCTTAGGACAATAAATGTTGGGTTTTATTTCACTTTTTATTTTTTTTTTAAATTTATTTATTTATTTATTTTATCACAACCATAGTGTATCTTTTTTTTTTTTTTTACATGTATTCCCCATAATTTTTATCTTTTCATATTAGTGAAGGTCTATCCTCAAGCTGTCAGTGACTTGAATCTTGTTTGGGGATTGTTCTCTGCTGTCTGTGAACTATTTTTTAAGTTAGGTTTCTAGATGTTACAGGCATCTGAGAAGATTTTGCATGCAGTCTGTTTAAGACGCAGAAAAGAATGGCCTTGGTTTTAAAGCAATCATTGCAATTGATTTTTTTTTTTTCATTTTTGCAGCTAGCAAGATCTTTCCCACTAATTTTTTGTTTAGGAAATATGTTTGGCTTTAATTTTTTTTTTAATTGAAGTATACTTGATTTACAATGTGGTAGTAGTTTCTGATGTTCAGCAAAGTGATTCAGTTTTATATATGTGTGTTAATTCTTTTCAGTTTTTTTTTCCATTGTAGGTTATACCAGGTGTTAAATGTAGTTCACCATGCTCTACATATTCAGTAGGACCTTTTTGTATGTTTTACATATAGTAGTGTGTATTTGTTAATCCCAAGCTCCTAATTTATTTCTTGGCTTTGATTATAAATATATGCATAGAAGTCATTGCAATGTTAGGACAAATACTTTGTCATGATTCTATATAAATTACATATAACTTGTAATATTTGAAACATGTTTTGTCCACTATTGATTATTTATTATAATTCTCAATTTGAAATTTTCTTGAGTTTTTTCCTCCCACGAGAAGCTACCAAATGTCATAGGTCTGCAGAGTGGGGGGTCTGTCACCCTGTGTCCTGGAGATTCAGATTTGACCAGAGCATGCTGTGCCTCTTCCTTTCAGTCTTCTCCAGCCACAACTGTTACGTCGCCTAATTCTACACCAGCTAAAACTATTGACACATCGCCTCCAGTTGATTTGTTTGCAACTGCATCGGCAGCTGTACCAGTCAGGTTAGTTCATGAGAATGCAGCAAACTGTTTATTAATATTTTGATTAGGTTTTTATTTTATTTTTATGTATTGAACCCAAATGACTTCACAAAATGAAATTTTTTCTAGTGAATGTATGCTATTTTGGGTTATTTTCAGGAACACGGAGTAAGTTCTTCTACACCTTATACAGTTATTTAAGTTTGTACCTCTCAAAGTGTAAGAAAGACCTAAGCTCTGGGAATTGCCTTGTTGCTCAGATATTTGGGAAAGAAAGTGGAAGAAAGATACACACATTTCAGGTTCTTCTGAAAAGGGTGATATGGACAGTGTTTTCTGAAATTCATTTCTTCTTTTGTGAAATTTAAAGGATGTCTTGAAGTGCTATAAAATGAAATGAAGTGAAGTGAAATGCAATTGTAGGTCGAGTAGGTGGTACATATGAGGAACTCAAACTCCACTTGTAGGAAGAAACTGTCAGGATGCTCCTAATTGCTTTTATAGCACCTAAAAGTCAGAATAGTAGTGAGAAAGATGGGGATGGTTGTGTGTTGTATGAAATTTCTGAGGTGCCTAAAAGGAAGCCCCAACTAAGAGAGGCTTCCTCAGGTATTAATTTTAGGTCAACTCTTTGTTTTGTTCTTTTGCCTTGACAAGATTCTAGTCCCATCTTGTAGTATCTGTGACTCTGATTATGAATGCTCTGTACTTGGAGACTTGAATTTTGAACTGAACAATAAATCCACATAATGTATCCATGTAAACTATGCCTGTTGGTCTCCACTCACTTAATTCTAGTTTTGTAATCACAGGCTTGGAAAGGCCAAGTCCTTTCTGCCTCTATACCAGGATAAATTGCTTCTTATAAAAACTTTGATTCAGATTTTAATAATAAATGTTTCTCTATTTTGGCTTTAAACCAGTTGTACTTATGAAACAGATATCAAAATTAGGCAAGTTTCAAAGAATATTACTTGCAAATCTAATATGTAAAACAGATAGGGATTGAACTATTTTTAAAGAGGGTTGGGGAACCTGGACCCTGATGTATCTGATCTCACAGCCTTTAAGCCAGTGCTCCTTAAACCTGAATGGACAGTGAACACCTGGGGTCACATTAAAATAAAGACTCTGATATAGTAGATATGAGGTAAGCCTGGGATTTTGCATTTCTAACAAGGTCCCAAGATGCTGTTAGTTTGGAGATCGTACTTTGAATAGCAAAGCTCTAGGCTCTTTCTTGGAACTTCTATAGATGAAAGAGCTTTGGAAAGCACAGCTCCATCTGAGTAAGAGTGAAAAAACATGGAATTGTTTATGGATGAGGCCTCTTACAGGCCAACTTGATATAGTGCAATTTAACGTAGAGAAAAGGTACAATAGTGATTATTCATTTTTTGGTTTATAAGTAAATTCTTCTTTTCAAGATAAGAATTATTTACCATGATACAAAAATAAAATATACAAAAATTTTAGGAAATAGAGAAAAGGAAAAAATTACCAATAATTGTCTTTAATATTTGGAGCATGTTTCCTTTTGTCAGAGTCCTCATAATCAGCATTTCAGATGCTCCCCAGTGGATATAACATGTTTAAAATTCCCCCTTACTTTGAGGCATTTAGATTTTCCCTTTTTCTTTCTGCTCTATGATTCGCTGAGTAAGCCATTGCTTGAAGTATGATTTAACTTTGTTATCCATGGAGCAGGAGTTGGCAGAGGATGGCCCATAAATCAGATCTAGCCCCCTGTCTTTGTAAATAAATTTGTATTGCAACAAAGGCATGTTTGTTTGTTTACACACTGTGTCTTTTTTCATGCTGCACTGGCAGAGTCAAGTAGTGACAGAGGCTGTCTAGCCCACAAACCTTAGATGCTTAGCATCTGTCCCTTGACAGAGGTAGTCGGCCAACTCTTAGTATAGAGGAACATATGTTTTACTGCTGTACTTTCACAAATATTATTCTCTTGCTGGATTTAAAATATCCAAAATCTGTGATGTTTTCTGCCTAAGTCTTTATTTGAAAAACATCTTTACATTTTAAAATTTCAAAAATCTGATTGTAAAATGATACTTGCCTTTCAGCACTTCGAAACCGTCTAGCGATCTCCTGGACCTCCAGCCAGACTTTGCCCCTGCAGGGGCAGCGGCAGCGGCAGCAGCACCAGCACCACCTTCAGGAGGCGCCACTGCGTGGGGAGGTGAGTGGAATCAGACAGCTCTGCCATTTTTCTATTTGGCTGTTTTCATTCAGGTTATATTTGTCACTCTTTCCTTCTGATTATCCAAAATGGCGCTAGAAACTGGGGGAGAAAATGCTAAAAATGGCATCGATTAATTGAAATATGTATTGAAAGAGAGACAAAAGGTACCCGTATGTGTTATGTGCATGTGGTCTATCACTCAGTCATATCCGACTCTTCCCAACCTCATGGAGTGTACCCCTCCAGGCTCCTCTGTCCATGGGATTCTCCAGGCAAGAATACTGGACTGGGTTGCCATTTCCTCCTCCAGGGGATCTTCTCAACCCAAGGATGGAACCCATGTCTCCTGTGTCTCCTTCATTGAAAGGCAAATTCTTTACCACTGAGCCACCTGGGAAGCCCCCAAAGTACCCAAAATACAGTTAAAATATTCAAGGAATCACATAGTTTATTATTAAAGTTGAAACAATGGGAGTATTTTTTCTTAGCTATTCTCAAATCCTGATTGTTTTTAGTAATTGCTCTCTAAGAGTTCAGGCCTTAGAAGATTGTGTGTTTCCTTCAGAAATTATGAGAGTATTGAAAGGCAGCATTTTGAATTTGCTTTGTTTAAGTGTGATCTCCCTAGTTGATTTCTTTAGATCTGAATTGGTTTTATTTATATTGTATTTGATTTCATGCAATTGGAAATCTGGGATAGATTCTTATTTGTGCCAGAAAAGATCTATACAAAACTTGTTAAGAGCAATCACATGTAAGTACTTGATTTCCATTTTATTCATGGATCTTGGGAAAAATTACACTTCTATACATATTTGATTTAAAAGGATACTTAATACCAATATAAAGTTAAGTTGATTATTGCTTCATTCCTATAAGTTTCACAGAGTTGGTATTAAATACCTTACTCTACCACATCAAACTATCAAAGTAAAAATTTTTTTTTAATTTGAAAATGGCTCATACAACTATAGAAGTAACATAGAGGGAATGATATAAGCAAGATGGTCAAATAGGAGGCGTCCCATCATACCTCCCCACAGAAGTAACCATTTGGCAGCCATCCACAGACAAAAGTGCCTTTGTGGGTGTTTTGGGATCCAGGAAAGAGGTTGCAAAGCCCGAGATCAAGAAGGCTTGATTTGAGAATGCAGGTCCAGGTAGGAGGCTCATCAGCCTTGGTTCTGGCAACAGACCTGGAAACACCGCCATGCCCCCATGGACTCATTACAGTCACCCATGCATTAGGTAACAGGCCTGCTGACCTTGAAACTGTCTCAGCTGTGGACCCTGAAACTGCCTGTGACCCAGCTCCAGCCTCTCTCAGTCTTGGTCCAGGAGCAGTCTCGCCTGCCCAGAGATCTACCAGGAGACATACCCGTCTGTGCACTTAGAGACAGGCCCAGTGACCGTAGTCCAACCTCAGATCCTAAAGAAGCTTTGTGACTAGGCTCAGCCCCTTCCAGCTGCAGTCAGGAAGCTGTCCTGCCCACCTGGGGACTTTGTGGAAGACAGACTTATCCATACTCATAAGGGCAGGCCTACAGATCTTGGTCCCAACTTTGGACCTTCACACAAATATCAGACTTGATTCAGCCCCACTTGGCTATAGTCCAGGGCTAGTCCTTCCCAGCCCAGAGACCTCATAGAAGCTACACCCAAACATGCACTTGGTAACAAGCCCACCACCCCTGAACTCAACTGAAGACCCTAAAGTGGACCCTTGTTCCAGTTCCAGCCCTAGTAACCAAGGTTGTCAAGGCAGTCCTCTCCACTCAGGGACCAGGAGGCAGGATCCGCACCCACCTAAGACCCTGGTAACAGCCCCACCAACATGGGCACTGCAGCAGACCCAGGAGTAGCCACGTGAACTTGCCCCAACCCCATTCAACTGCAATCCCAGAGGCAACATCATCACCCCAAGGACCTGACAGGAGAAGATCTTCACCTGCCAAAACTAGTGTTTAAAAACAGGAAGAGGTGTTTTTCCTTCAAATGCACAGGCACCATCACAAGGCTATATGAAATACAAAGAATCAGACAAAAAAAAAAAAACCCCTCCATGACACTGCCAAAGGAAACTAATAAAGCTCAATAACTTACCCTAAAGAAATCTAGATTGTCTGCCAATGAATTCAAAATAATCATCCTAAAGAAGCTCAGTGAGATTCAAGGGAACACCTGCAGGCAAGAAAACAAAATCAGGAAAACTATACACGAACAAAATAAGAAAATAGAAACTATAGAAGAGAACAAAACAAGTTCTGAATGAAATAGAATACAGTGACTGATCTGAAAAGAAAAACTCTGTAGAGAGCTTCAACGGAAGACTGAATCAGACAGAGTAAGAATCCACAAACTCAAAGATAGGTCATTAGAAAATAGCCAATTAAAGGAATAAAAAGGGAAAAAAGAGGACGCATACAGGACCTATGGGACATCATAAAATGAATGAAGATATGCATTGTAGAAGTCTCAGAAAGAAAGAAAGAAAGAAAGTGAAGTCACTCAGTCATGTCCGACTCTTTGTGACCCCATGGACTGTAGCCTACCAGGCTCCTCTGTCCATGGTATTTTCCAGGCAAGAGTATTGGAGTGGGTTGCCATTTCAGAAGGAAAGCTTATTTAAAGAAACAGTGGCTTGTGGTGGTGGTGGTTTAGTCGCTAAGTCATGTCGAACTGTTGCAACCCCATGGACAGTAGCCTGCCAGGCTCCTCTGTCCATGGGATTCTCCAGGCAAGAGTGGGTTGCCATTCCCATCTCCAGGGTATCTTCCCAACCCAGGAATCGAATCAAGGTCTTCTGCATTGCAGGCAGATTCTTTACCAACTGAGCTACCAGGGAAGCCCGAAATAGTGGCTGAAAACTAACTAAATTATGAGAGAGATATGGACATTTAAATTCATGGAATTCCAAAGTCTCCAAGCAAGAGCAATCCAAAGAATATTACCTAAGACACAGTATATAATCCAATTGTCATAAGTCAAAGACAAAAATAAAAATTTGAAAACAACAAAAGAAAAGCAGTTTCTCCTATACAGGGAATCCTGGTAAGGCTATCAACATATAATGATAAAATCAATTCATTAAGACACTTGCTCCTTGGAAGAAAAGCTATGACAAACCTAGACAGCATATTAAAAAGCAGATACCTTTGCCTACAATGGTCCATATAGTCAAGGCTATGGTTTTTTCCGTAGTCACGTATGGATGTGAGAGTTGGACCATAAAGAAAACTGAGTGCCGAAGAATTGATGCTTTTGAACTGTGGTGTTGGAGAAGACTCTTGAGAGTCCCTTGGACTGCAAGGAGATCAAACTTGTCAATTGTAAATGAAATCATTCCTAAATATTCATTGAAAGGACTGATGCTGAAGCTGAAGCTCCAGTACTTTGGCTACCTGATGCGGAGACCTGACTCATTAGAAAAGGCCCTGATGCTGAGAAGGATTGAAGGCAGGAGGAAAAGGGGATGACAGAGGACGAGATGGTTGGATGGCATCACCGACTTGATGGACATGAGTTTGAACAAGCTCTAGGATGTGATGAAGGACAGAGAAGCCCGGCATGCTGCAGTCCACAGGGTCTCAAAGAATCGAATACAACAGAGCAACTGAACAATAATTCATTCAGAGGATATAAACATCAAAATACCTAAACATGTGAAGCACATATTAACAGAACTGAAGGAGGAAATAGACAGCCATACGATAATAGTAGGGGGCTTCAGTATGCCACTTTAAACAACAATAGATAGGTCATCCAGATGGAAAGTCAGTTAGGAAATAGAAAACTTGAATTACCTTACCTTGAATTACACTTATCCCAAGTGAACCTACAGACATATACAGAAAATTTCTTTCAACGGAGCCAAATATATTTTCTTCTCAATTGCACATAGAAAATTCTCCAGGGAGGAGAATGTTGGGACAAGAAAAAAATTTTGATGAAGATTGAAGTCATATCAAGTATTATTCCTGACCTTCAGTGGTATGAAACTAGAAATCAGTAACATAACAAAACTGAAAATTCACAAATACATGGAGATTTTATAACATATGGCCAACCAATGGGTCAAAGAAGAAATTAAAAAGAAATTTTAATGAATCTTGAGACTAAAGAAAATGGAAACACAGTATATCAAAACTTACCTGATGCTGCAGAAGCAATACTAAGAGGGAAGTTTACAGTGCTAAATGCCTCCGTTAAGAAAAAAAAGACCTCAAACAATCTAGCTTTACATCTCATGGAATTAGGTAAAGAACAAACTTAGCCCAAGGAAAGCAGAAGGATGGAAATAATAAAGATTAGAGCAGAAATAAATGAAATGGAGAGCAGAAAGATGTTAGAAAAGATCAACAAAACTGAGTTGGTTTTTTGAAAAGATAAAATTACTTTTGTGTGTGTGCATGCTCAGGTGTATTTGACTCTTTGCGCCCAAGGACTGTAGCCCACCAGGCTCCTCTGTCAGTGGAATTTTCCAGGTGAGAATACTGGATGGGTTGCTGTTTCCTACTCCAGGGAATCTTCTTGACCCAGAGATCAAACCAACATCTCCTGTGTCTCCTTCATTGCTAGGTGGATTCTTTGCCACTGAGTCACCTGGGAAGCCCATAATTACCTTCGGCTAGACTAAATAAGAAAAAAGGGCAATGACCCAAACCAAAATTATAAATGAAAGAGGAAACATTATCACTGATACCATAAAAATGCAAAGAATCATAAGAGATTGTTGTGGCCAATTATATTCCATGATTGGATAACTTAAAAGAAATGGATAAATTCCTAGAAACGTACAGCTGACCAAGATACAACTGACAGTCAAGAAGAAAGAGAATCTGAACAGACTTACATGAATAAAGACATTGAAGCAGAAATCAAAAACCTCCCAACAAAGAAAAACCCTTGATCATATAGCTTCATGAGTGAATTCTACCAAACATTTAAATAGAAATAAATGCCAGTCCTACTCAAATTCTTCCCAAAAACTTCATGAG